CCTCTTAAATATTATGGAAACCAAAAAACAGGTTTGATCAAGGTAAAGGATTAAGAGAAACCCAGTGTACTCTGATAGATTTCAGCAGGAGGAACCTGATTTCTTTGCCATGTATAGGAGGCTGAAAAGGTTTCTTCTTGTGTGCATGACAAAGACTTGAGACAGGGAAAGTATCGCGGTGGCAGGATGAAAGCAAACATCATTGCTCATACAAAAGCATCATTGTAATCGATTCCAACAGAAATAAAGCAGTCGGTTTCACAGCGCAACAGTAATCTGTTTGTAAAACATGCACACGATCAGAAAACACCGTCAGCTCTCTGCTCAGAAGCCAAAAGCTCACAGTTCAAAAAGACATAGGAGGAAATTTACTGACTTGTTTTTTTTATTTGTTTCTATTTACCACAGTTACTGTGAAGTAAAGTTTCTAAATGATGTCTTAAAACTGAAATGATGGTGTTCACAGTGTTTCCTCTGGTGCAGCAGATATAACACAGGTGTAATGGAACACACAGGGGTGAAGAATGGGTGAAAAGCACAGCCGTTCAGTTTAATCTCCTCATTGTGTTGTGAGCCGTCCTTTCACTCGTGAGCGAACCGAGACTCAGATATTCGCAGTACCCACGAGTCCTGCTTGGATCAACCTCACCCACATGCAGCAGTGTCAGCCATGTTGAAATGGCTCTGAGGTGGTTGCTCTGTGTTTGTATTTCAAACTGGCTTTGTACCATCCCCCTAACCCCTCCCCCACTCCCTCTGCCCACCTCTCTGGGTGGGTGTGTGTGTGCTTGCGTTTAAGTGCACTGTCTTTGAGTGTGCACACACATCAAGGCCTTATGCTTGTGTACATGATTGGCTCTCTTTTCTGTTCACTTACCTGCAAATCCGTCTCATCTGCCCATCCCTCATTGCACAGTGTGACATCCTTGCACTTTTTAAAGTCTTTACTTTGTATCGTTTAAAGAAATTGCCGTAAAAAAAATAAAAAACCCTGCAATAAAGCCGAGGTTGAATATGTTTTTAAAAAATCCTGCCCGCTCTTGCTTTCTATTGGCTGTTAGCAGATGACCTTTCACAGTAGTAGGGTGTGTTTTGTTATTGCGCCACAGGACTTTGCCTCACCTCTGCCCTCTCTCCTGGCTCTCTACCCTCTGCTCAGGAGATTAGTGCCACAGCCCACTGCTCTCCGTCACCTTCGCTGCATGAACACAGACTCTGAAAGTTTTACTAGCTCACTATTTAATCCATAAACTCCTTGGGAAAAGGATTCACTGAGAGGCTGCTGTAAATTAAGTCAAACCAGATCGTCCGGCTCTCTCGTGTAACCAGTTTAATCTAAATAAGACTGAGATTAATTCACTTCTGGGGACACTTTGATGCTCACCGTGTTTTGAGTTCCAATCAAACACAAGGATATGTTATCCTGAACTTGTCTGTCAAGTCTGCGCAAACATCCCTATCTCCTCGTCAGCAGGCTCCTGAAACCAGCCAAGGTTGAAGCCAAACAGTAGGTTGCTGTGTTTTTGAAATGGGCTTGGCTCCTTTATCATTATGCCACAGTCACTTTTTGAAAAGGTTAACAGTGCAGGCAAGGTAAGTTGATCCCGTGGCTGCGCTTGAAGGGCAACATCTACCCTGGTCTGCAGTCCAAGCCCAGGGCTGGCTTTGGTTGGTATGTGGTGCCATATTTGGTGTCGTTTCTCGTGGCTCTCCTGACCAGCTCTTATGCCATCTCTCAACCCCCCTGTCAGCTTTTGCATAGGGCATAATAATGCAAGAATCCCACCATGCAGGAAACCGTACCTGTCAATTTAAAAATCATACATGGGAACGAGTTATCCTGCACACTATCATTCTTGCTTTTTGAGCAGTATCATCTTTCTAATGGTTCCACTGTAACTGTGATGCTGTAACAGAATAACAGCCTTAGTATGGTAGTGGGAATCTGCAAAGACCTCCGAGCACTCACAGATGGAGCTGCCATGATGGTGCAGACCAATCTCTCCCCTGTGGTATTAAGCCTGTTTTCCTGGGCAGCACCACTGGAAGGGGAGCTGGGCCTACACGTGTCCCACCCTAGCTGCATATAGATCAGCCGTAATCCATTAGCAGCTCCCTGGAATCCAGCCGGCACGGCACAGCACTGGAGGGGCCAGGGGGAGAGGGTAGCTGTGTGGGTGATGGGGGGAGGAGAGAGAGAGAGAACTCAGGATGAGAAGAGGAGGGGGGTGGGGAGGGCTCTTTTTTTTTTTTCTCCTGAGCTGGCTTCTCTACTCCGAGCCCAGCCCCCTTTTATGTTGGTCTGCTGGAAAAGCCTCTTGAATCCCCCCATAAAGCCTGCAGAGGTGTGTGTGTATGTTAAGAGAAAGACTTGACTGATATATGGCTTCCTGACTGGCATCATAGCAGAGGCCCTTCTCTCTCCAGCAGCCCTCTTCTCCCTTACCGCCTGCAGGGTCGATTGCCATACGCCCCTGCAGCACACTCTGTGACTCAACTGCAGATCTTATATATTTCAGAATGGCTCATTGTGCTTTGCGTTTTGGGACAACAAACTGTTCCTGGGATGTGTCTGTGTGCCCGGCGAGAGGCTGGTGAGGGTGGGAGGATAGAGAGGAGCAGAGGAAAGACGGGGGAGGGGAAGAAGACCATGACTTGAAGTGTCAAAGCAGAGGAGGCAAGCCCAGGCCTGGAGCTGGGAGTAATGATCACTCCAGCTGATTGTATCTTCTACCCTGACTGTTCCAACAGGGCTGGCTTTGGTTCATCAGCCAGACATCTCCCTTTTTCTAATTTCACCATGGTGGTTGTTGCCGTCCTGACCAGACACGTCCAACAACCCCCCCCCCCCTCCTTTAGTCACATCTTCACTTTGTGTGAGTCTGTATAGTGATTGTAACTGTTGGGCCTTGTATGCCTGGAAATTTTTGATGATGCATACAGATCCAACATATACTTGTTAAGTAACTAATATATTCAAGCTGAATATATAGGAACTGATTCAACTAAACATGGTGATGGGGAACCACAGTATTTATCTTTATGCATTTGTTCTTCCTTAGTATTGAAAAGGGGAAATCTGCCCAGGCAGCCCCCAGTTCTGTGATTTTTAGAAGGAGATTTGGTCTGATACATTTCTTTATGATTTTCTGTAAATGAACCCTTATTCCAGAGATGGTTCTAAAAAAACGATCTCTTTTATGTTGTTGTATTCAGGCTTCACACGTCTGTTGCTCAAACTTAGTTGGGGAATCACTATATTCTTCCCTGCTACATATAATGAAATGTGGTTTTCAGTAAATCTCTAAGTTGGCACTGCATTGAAATGGCACATTTTCATCCGTATTTACAGCTTGAGCTAAGCATTACTCTGCATTACAGTGTAATCTCCTTTTAATACGGTATAACCTGCCCTGATGAGGGGCATCAAAGATGTACGTTCGTTTTCCCAGCGTGCCCAGGGCTTTAAAAACGCGTTTAACACGTCTCTGGGACAGACCCTGCAGCTGCCTCAACTGACGAACACTACTGTTGCACGTGTTTTTTTTTTAGTGTCAGAACAGAAGTGGAGCACAGTGGTTTGTAATAGTTAGTCAGTGTGTAGTTTAACAGCGAATGAGATTCATGCCCTAATTCCATAAATGAGGGCCTCTCTGGAGGATCAGGTGGTAGTGTCCTTGTCTTTGAGCAACCCACCCACCACAACCACCCCCCCTTCTGCCCTAGCTCCTGTGTAGTTTTACCTGCTCAGGTGTCACCTAATCCCTCCCCCCAGGCCCTGCTGTGCCACCAAACCCCCCACCTCAAGACAATGGGGCATGGCTGACATTACCATGACCTAATGGAGTCTAGGGTGAGCCGTGTTTCCAAAGAGGGCACCCAACGAAACTAGAGTTGCTCCACTGAGATAGAGAAGAGATGCTTAGAGGAGCCACCTTTAGAAAAGTAACTACTTTACCCTTTGTTCTTCTCCACCCTTTGGCTTTTGTGCCAGAACTGTGGCAATGTGTGCAATCAGAACTTGATCCACGTGGGGTGCAATTTGTTTAAAAAGGAAGACGAGAGGGAGGGAAGGGTTCCAGTTTCTGAGCTGTCGTGTGATTATGTGGCACGCTGTGCTAACAGTTTGCTAATATCCCTCAGAGAGCTAAAAGCTTGGGTTGATGTTCTCACAGTGGGAGTCATGACACATGCCTGCTTAATGTGAGATATGTCGGATGTTAGCATTGCAACTGTCATTTTTAAAAACCTGTATTACATTTTAATCCTACTATAGGCTGCAATAAACTAGAACTTATATCAGACTTGCACAAAATCAAACTGCATGTGAGCAATGCAAGCTGTTCTGCCGTCAATCCTGTGTATGACAGATCTAATACACTTGCATGTTGTTTGGTCTTCTAATTTTACTTTTTCCTCATACAGTGTCAATTAAAACGTGGAAACATTTCTCTTAATTATTTTCCCTGCCATACACGCTGTATACCAGTCAGTTGGTTGACACAGCATCAGTCTGAGGATTGCATCTATAACAGTTTAAAAACTAAAACAATATTCATCCAGATGAGCATCTGTAATCATCAATCCACACTGACTTGAAAACTATCACATGACCACTCATATACACTGGACATGAGTCAACCACTATAACAACATATAGCATAAAAATAAGAGTAGTGGTGTCTTGTAAAGATGAGAAGGTGGAACCGCTAATAAGTGTTAGCAATGTTCTGCATTTACAGCTCTTAGTCCTAAGAAACAATCAGGAAGTGAACGCAGGTGATGACATTGTCGTTTCCAAAAGTCTCCATTTTGGCTCGTCCTGACTAACCCGAGGCTCTTGAGTTTTTCAATACGATCTGCAGCCTTTCCAAAATTCCCAGTTTAAGATGCTTGAAAGTTGTGTTTTGAAATTAAAATGTAGTTTTGTGGATGTAATCTAACACTGCTTCATGTTAACAATGTAACACTGATCACTTTTTTCATTGTTTTTCTTTCAGCTTCAGGTGGTGCTCGTGTAGGAAGAGAGAGAGAGAGAGAGAGAAGGAAAGAAGGAAAGAAGGAAGGAAGGAAGAAAGGTGGAAATGGAACTGCCAAATCATGCCAAACACCTGCTGCTGCAACTCAACCAGCAGAGAGCCAAGGGCTTCCTGTGTGATGTCATCATCGTTGTGGAGAATGCACTTTTCCGTGCCCACAAGAACATCCTGGCAGCAAGCAGCATTTATTTCAAATCTTTGGTCCTCCACGATAACCTCATTAACCTGGATACAGAGATGGTTAATCCCTCTGTATTTAGACAAGTGCTGGACTTCATCTACACTGGGAAGCTCCTGTCCTCATCGGATCAGAGCAGTGAGCAGAACTTCAGTGCCCTCTTAACTGCAGCCAGCTACCTCCAGCTCCATGACCTTGCTGCTCTGTGCAGAAAGAAGCTGAAGCGCAGTGGTGGGAAACCTCTGCCAGGTAAACCCTCCACCCCAGGTCCCCATAGCCGCTTACGCCTCAACAACCAGAGACTTTCCTCTTCTACCCCTGCCGGCCCCAAGAACCACTATCCTCCAACTCCCTCTGATGCCGACCAGCAGCAGCCAGATGAAGGCCTTCGGGACAAACTGTCAGATGACGAGATGTTTGTTGGCAGTTCTGGGAAGAACGGTAATGGGGGAAATGGCAGTAATGGTAACCTCAGCAGTGGAGGTAGTGCTGGGGAACCCGACCTTGGACTAGATCTGTCCAAGAAGAGCCCTCCCTCTGCGGGAACAGGCACCGATGCCCTCAGCCCAAACAGCAACTCCCAAGAATCCCCTCAATCTGCCTCAGTATCCACAACCAACAGTGCCTCACTGGATGACTCCTCAGCCACCCTACCAGGTGTAGACACATGTGGCTCAGAAACCATGGAGCTCAACCCTTCCTCAAAAACCTCAGAGGAAACCCAAAACCAGCCAGACGGGCCCCCACCCCAGAAGAAATCCAGACAGGGTGCTCGCAAGAACGAATGGCCTAAGAAAGAGGCGTCAGGGTTGAAGTCCGAAAATTTCGACAAGCCCCTGGTTAATGGAGTGATTGTGGGTCCTAAAGATGGCCGCTCCTCTGGGGTGGGAGGGGGCAGTGGTAGCAGCTTTGCCTCGGACCAGTCGTTCCAGTGTAAAGATGAGGAAGAGGGAGGAGAAAACGGCCAGGACCACAGCGATGAAAGCGGTCAAAGTGATGGAGAGAGTGCCGGAGGTGGAGGAGGAACAGGAGGGGGAACTCAGAGCGCCAACTACGTGTACAGGCAGGAAGGGTTCGAGCCCGCATTTGGGGACAACCTCTACGTGTGCATTCCCTGTGGTAAGGGCTTCCCCAGTTCTGAGCAGCTCAACGCTCACGTGGAGACTCACACTGAGGATGAGCTCTACATCAAAGAAGAGGGGGGGACCTTCATGAAAGAGGAAGACGAGGAGGAGGCGGAGGACCTCTCGGCCCCTGTAGGTCCCTCCAACTTTGGCTCTGAAACACGTCCATTCAAGTGCACAGTCTGCAGTAAGAGCTACAAAGACCCAGCAACACTGAGACAACACGAAAAGAGCCACTGGCTGACCAGGCCCTTCCCCTGCAACATCTGTGGCAAAATGTTCACCCAGAGGGGCACCATGACGCGCCACATGCGCAGCCACCTTGGCCTCAAGCCCTTTGCATGTGAAGAGTGTGGCATGAGGTTCACACGCCAGTACCGTCTGACAGAGCACATGCGGGTCCACTCTGGGGAGAAGCCGTACGAATGCCAGCTATGCGGGGGGAAGTTTACCCAGCAGCGCAACCTCATCAGTCACCTGAGAATGCACACCTCACCCTCTTAGAAATGCATCATGCCAAAGAACTCTGGGAATCGAAAACATTTCTCTACCTTTTTTTCCATCTCAAAAGCAAAGAAACGCACACAAACGCATTGACACGCAGACTCACATAGTTCTACATATGAATTCCAGTTTACGACACCTTGGCTAAGTGAATGATGTTGCTGTTAGCCACAGTGGGCTCTTGGTGATGGTGGGATCTCGTTGACGCAGGGATCGTGTCGTCGTTTATATCATTCACTCACCTCTCAGGAGTTCTAGATGAACAATGTACTCCTGTCACTCTCCAAAGTCACGAAGCCATGGTGGAGTGGCAAGACTTCTGGTCTGCGTTGCAAGTCTCTCAAATGTGAATGTGGGAACTAATATAATGTCAAACCCCCTCACCTCATACCCCTCTGCAACCTTCCTCTCTACCTTTGAGCATTGAGTCTTTGAGTTTTTCAGATTGTTCCTCAGACAGATTAACTCGAGAGTCCCCTCTGCACTTCAGTGCTGTTTTGACCAAAAACCCGTGCAAACAAAACTGGCAATAATTCAGCTAAAAGATTATTTTTACCCTGACAGCTTTATGTCCTTCGTTACGTTGGTGACGGGGGATCTGTATGTAAGAGGAGGGATAACTGGGTTTGGGACCATCTGCATGCTTTAACTGAAAGTCCTGAAAGAAAGTTCATGGTGGGATAACATTGGATTAAGTTTTAGTTTTTACAGAAAACAGATTCTCAAAGTCCTTCTCTACAGCTGTGCACAGTAATATAGAGAGGATTGTTTTCAGCTTTGCCTGCTAGTGCTTCCAGGATTAATCCTGGTTGGAAAGATGAACCCTTTGAGGTACTTGTTTTACTTAAAGAACTTGTAATGTTTCAGTGAATGTTTAAACTGGAAGGTCTTGGGATTTTTCTTGTGGAGGGGAGGGATTTGGGTTGGGGGTGGGTGGGGTTTAACGGGGGTAAGAAAAGGGTGTTATAGCCTGAACATTATGTTCAGTGGGTACGTTTATTTTATTTTTTGTCTGTATAGCTTTCCTCCCCTCAGAAAAAAAAAAAAGAAAAGTCTATTTATATAGGCTTGTGACCTCGCTACCTCTGATTACTCTTACGAACTCTGTTGATTAGTTGAAAGTTCCTATGTAATTAATTGTAAAAAGTGTGTAGATTATGGTAACTTTTCACCTAATGCTTTAACCTGCCCATCTCTCAACACAGGTTTTTTTTAATGCTCATAGATTTTACACATTAATATTGTTTTAGCTGTTGTTTTTTCTTGTCAAATATAGCTTTTCTGGTGCCCTGCTCAGTGTGGCCCCACCTCAAAGTGTACTGTAGCTTCCTGCCTGGAGCAAATAGTGGTTAGTTAGTTAGTTTAGATGTATAGTGTTCCAAAGATCTTATGAATGTTGAGGAGAACAGAGCTAACTAACAAACATTGCTAGACAAGTTCATAACCAAAGTTTTTAAAAAGATGTACTTAAGATATATAGCATACTAAATTATTTTGCTTTTGATTTTCCTTTTTGCTGTATAAAACAAATTATGAATTATATTCCAAGTCCAGACAAAGAAATCCTCTCTTTTGATGGAGTTTTGGCCAATGACTCTGAGACTGAGGAAGCTTCTTGTGGTTTGCAAGGAAAGCTTGTGCTGATTGGTGGGCTGGTATTATGTAAACTTTACCACCTGATGAAACCGGTAAAGCTTCAAACATGTTCCCTGTACATGTTTTTTTTTTGAGCCAGACTTGTGAAAACTTGTAATAAGAAGGGAGAAGCAGAGATGCACTGGACAGCTGGAAGACTCATTGTCTCCTGCAGCATTCTTTTGTACCTGATTGTATTTCATTATATCACGAGGTGATTTTAAATTATTTTAAACCTCTAAAGCTTTACCTCATCATAAGCAACCACACGTTGGGAATGACCCCTCTGTTGTCTGTAGGTTTCACTGAAACCTGTCCAGTGTATCTACTCTGAACAGTTACGCTGTGGAGCATGAACCTTCACTACAAGTTTTTGGTATAGGCATTCCTCTATTATGTTGGTTTAACTGTCTTCTTGATTTCTTTTTTTTTTATTCCTCTTTCGTCATGTTATGGTCTGTGAAATGTTTGTTATCAGCTACAGTTGCAAACATCACTACCGTTTTAAGGTACCTGCGTCCTGGACTCCCTTGTTACCTGGTTATGTTGGATGTTGGCGTCTTGCTGTTGAGCAGTTGCTTTTTAGTGATTGCATGGTACATCTATAAAAAAATTTACACCCCCCCCAACCCCTTCCAACAACAAACATGTTATTTATCGCCTGATCCATTGTTGCTTGTGATCTCTTCTAGCTTAAGCGGGAGTCCACAATGCATTGCCTTCAAACGTCATTGTACTTGTCAGCACTTACTGCAGTACAGCGTAATGTCTGTCGTGCAAAATGTGTTTTTGTACAACCAGATCTCTAGCCATCTCTGCAGAAGACTTGCATTTGAATGCTTGCTTGTTTGACATAACGAAGAAAAAAAAAAAACTACGAACTCCAAACTGTGACCATACTACTACTACTACTACTATTGCTACTACTACTACTAGTACTACTACTATTCAAATACTTCAGGGATTGTTCTGCATCTGTGAAGGCAGACTCTCAGCTACATTTGTAAGACATAGTATTGTATCGATTTCTCTGTATTTTAATCATATGGGAAAAGCAGAACACTAGTTTCATATTTAAGACAAACAGGGGGGGACTTTATCAACTAACACAAAGAGCCTTGACAAAGGCGAGGCAGCTCGAAACAAGTCTACATTTTAGTTAGTAACACAGTATGTTCAGAAATAGTTGCAAAGTTGTACAAAGAACTAAGAAGAAGAAAAAAAAGCTCATACCCAAATCCACAAACTATTTTTTAAACCAAAGCACATTTGAATGATTATGGAACCATGTGTGGCTCTAAAAAGAAACATATGTATTTATCTCATTGTTTACATAAACTCTTACAGTTTTACAGACCTCAGTCGAGGCTCGGCCAACCAGAGAGCTGGTTTTGTGTTTTGTTTAGTTTTTTTCAAACGATGCTTCACCACAGAGGTTGCTGCCAAAATAAAAGCATAGCATCAAACATGGGGTGAACTGCTGCATATTCAATGAATGGGAGGGGTGTGTGGTTTTGGGGCACCCCCCCCCCCATCCTCTGCCAGCTGGCTTTGAGGTGACCTTGCGCCCCAGTCCCCCTGCCCTCTGGCCTGTCTTCAGATGGGACTGCAGTGATGGGGGTGTGCAGTGCATCCTTGATGTATTAATCAAAAGGCATTGTTAGTCGGGGTCTTTAGCTGAATGTTGTGTGTCTGTGTTTTTGCCCAAGTGCACTCGAGGACTACCTCTGCTGCTCGGGTCTCTTAATTTGTGGGAGTGGGTGGGTTGGTGCTGGATTGATTTGGGTCGTTTTCGTAACATGGTACATCTCTGATGCTGGCGGTTCATGAAACCAATCCGGAGAATGTAGCTCTGATTTGTTCACTGCATGTAAACAGGCTTATCTGGTTGTCTTAACTGTGAATGTTAATGTTATTTTACTGCTTTGGTGATGTTTTGAAAGCGTTTTCTTAAGCTGCCTGTGATCTGTGGATGAAAGCAGCACAAACCTCTGGCCGGCCGAGCCTCATACAAAGTTGGTGCAAACACTTATTGACAGTGTTCTTTTTTTATCAAATGTCTATTGTCAGTGATGAATGTATTTATTTCCGGTCCTGCCCTCACCTCTGCAAAGAATTAGCTCAGTGTGTGAGACTGAGGTGCAGGCAGGACCCCCTTTTTTTGTTTTGTTTTAAGGATTTCAAGCTGAGAATCAAAAATGAGACACAATACATAGCCATTAACCACAATCTGTGAAGTTTTATGTTGAAGAACTGATTAAATTTTTTTGTTTTTTTTTCCAAACTCAAAAAAAATGGTCTATGGCATTTAATATCTTCTTTCTCAGTTCTACCTGACAGTCTGTAGGGTTTTGATTTCATGTTAATTCACTATGGGTGTTTTTGTGCCCGTGTGTTCTTGAGTTCTCGCTGAATGACTGCACACCAGGGGAGTTGAACTTTAACCCCTTGAGTGTGTGTGTGTGTGTGTATGTGTGTGTGTGGACGCAGGCAGGACACTGTGACCTGCCTGTGCAGAACGGAGGCCACTGTATCTTTTCAAACTTGCTCTCCCTGGGTGTTGCCACGCTGCTGCCATTCAAAACAAACATTCACACAGCAGAAACATGCACGTAATCAACTTTTCAATCCGCTCAACGGTCATATTCCTCCGCGACTATTGTTACAGTCTTAAACCACTTGCCACTTCTTCAATCTGTTTTACATGATGTTTTATGTTGTTTTAAGTGTCTGTTAGCCCCACGTTGGAGGATTGTAGAAACCTTGGGTGAGATAGCTTTACTAAGTGCACTTTGTATGTTTTTCAAAGCCTCTGGGAAGACCCAGACGCTCTCATATCAGTTCCCATTTAACTAACAGTCGACTCTTTGTCGTTCTTTTCTTACCTCCTCATTGTTACTGTGTTTGTTGGAATATCATATCATTATGCAGTGTTACAAAAGCTTTAAAAATGAATTTACAAAGCAGGAAACTCAACCGAGGCTGCACTTGGCTCCTAGCATTCAAGTTTCCATCTCATTTCTTGGCATTGTTGTTACACAATGTACGGTTGTTGCTTCTACCATCCTCTCCAGGCATTTGTATAGTCGAGGGGCTGGTCTGTCCAGTTATTATGGAGATGTTCCTTCTTACCTCGGCAGACTAAACCAAAGCCAGTTTTAAAATGGCGTCCAGTGCCATTAAACCTCGTCGAAGCTTTACTGTCCCTTGCTTTATCTCAGATTCACCTGACCCCTTGCTTTAGTCCTTTGACCCTCTGTAATCTTTGTTGATGCACAGGCAACCGTACCCTCTGCTCTGCTGCATTTTATATTTCACATAAGTATTAACTGTACCTCCGCTGACATTGTGCAGTAGCGACTTAAACAAAAAAACACCAAATTACCTCAAAACTTTTGTTGTTTACAGAAATGTGCTGTCAGTTTTTCATTGTAGTATATCTCACTATTTATACTTTTTTTTTTTGCCGTCCATCTGTAACCAAAATATCTTTTCTAAAATCGAGTTTGTAGCAGCATATTTTCATATATAACCTTTAATTTACATCTGTTTTGTAGATTTCTGAAGGCACAGTGTCACCTTGATGTGCTCTGAGTTAATGGAACGATACGATTAGCTGCTAAAAAATAGTACTTGAAGAGTTGATTTAGTGGAGGCGCCCATGAAGTGGGTGCATCAAGCTTCTTCTCTGGTCCATTTTCTTCAGGAACAGCCTCTCAATAATGTATCAGGATCTGTGGGCTGAGAGGCTCTGGAATGGACATGTAGTGTCTTTGCTGGTGAATAATTAAAGGCCAAGAAGCCCTCCCCCTTGGCAAACAACACTTCATATGCAAAGGTGTACGCACCAAGGTGCACTTTTGCTGGCATGCACGCACATACACCTCCACTGATACGAACAAGACAGATGCAATTGTCTAGACTTCAAACACAACCTAACACACACACATACACCAGTATTTAAGGTGGGATTCTGTGTCCCCTCTGTGGCTTTTGGCAGCACCCAGGCTGGGCTCTCTCTTCATCTCCACTCCTCAGAGAGCTCGTATTCAGGTCAGAGCCACCGCCGTGCATAGCGATGGGGCTCGCAAACTCAAAGTGTCATAAAAGTGTAATACAGCTGACCTCAGCACTCACAACCTTGCAGTCTTAATGTACAGCAGTGAGGAAAAATAAACTGTTATTTTATGATCTTTTCATTAAAAGCTTGATTGAAAACCAAGACTGGCTTTGTGTGTTTGTTTCTTGAGAGCAAGTCTAGACATTATCCTAAAGAATAATGTCTCCC